TAGAGTTTTCCAGCGACAGCGCTGGGATTTTCTATGAATTTTTTGACCTACGTGTCAATGATAAATATGTCGAGAAAAAGGAAAAGACTTTTAGATCATTAGATTGTGCATTCATTATACTATTGATTATAATATGTTCGATTTTACATTCCTGACAATTATTACAAAATGCGAGGAGCCACCGTATTGAGAACCCCTTTCCGGTTATCGACAAATTTATGCTCGGGCCCTATCATACCAACAGTTCCGTACGCTCCATCGTAGTCCATGCGCCACCGCTACGATTTTTGTTGTTGAACACTTTACATTGGCCCTGTTCATCTCCCCTATAATCTCTGCTAAGGGCGTCCTTGAATAGTTCGTCAGCGCCTCCCTTGTATGGCCTCGGAACTACAGGACGCCTCAATGCGCTTGCACGACTAGAATGCTAGATAGTGGGGTATCCTCCTGACCGACCGTAATGGTTGGGTGAGTTAGGTGTTGCTCCGGCGGACATCCGAGTGCAGCTGCGTTTAGCGTGGTTAGTATTTGGATGGGTGACCGCTTAGGAACACCCTCGCCCAAAAATTTCGGCAGGTAGGCCCGGTATGGTGGCCTAATGTGCCCCTCTAGTCAGTGTGACAGAAGGGCACATTAGGGCTCTGCACAATCGGCCGGCTGTACGACTGAGGTTTTCCATGGTTTCCCTTGCAGTCCTAGCCCGAATGNCAGAGAAACTAATATTTGAATGGGATGAACTTGTTCGGAGTTACTGCGCGTTTTGAAAATTCATTCCTCCTCTCCTAATAGAGACTAAGGGAATGAAACCACTGTCATNTAGTATTTGGATGGGTGACCGCTTAGGAACACCCTCGCCCAAAAATTTCGGCAGGTAGGCCCGGTATGGTGGCCTAATGTGCCCCTCTAGTCAGTGTGACAGAAGGGCACATTAGGGCTCTGCACAATCGGCCGGCTGTACGACTGAGGTTTTCCATGGTTTCCCTTGCAGTCCTAGCCCGAATGGGGTACAGTTAAAAGAGTAAGACAGCCCATGGTAACGCAGATATATCTACCCTACCAACAATGCTAATTCCTAAATCCTGAAACGTCCCGTAGAGGGATAACGGCCGAATAGCCAATGCAGCTGGAGCCATAAGAAAGAAGAAGAATCCGAGGGTATCCTCCTCGGTGATGATTCCACTGCACAAGTGTAAACACGTTGAAACGTATATTTGCGTGTATTTGACCTCGTAGACATTCGGAGCAACGTTCGAGCATTCAATTCTGTTCCAAAAGACTGAGATAATGGATATAATAATTATTTAATCAATTGTCTGCGTAAATACAAATAATCAAGAATGAAGATAAATTGTAACGTAGAAGTGGTGAATAGATCACTGCCTGCTCCAAGGAAAAAAGCACAACGATCTTGTTTGGCTATTGGGAGGCAGTCTGTAAAAAATAACGAGCTGCATCTCCTTCTTCAACAAACTACACAAAATAAATTGGGAACTAAATACAAGGTAGTAGAAAAGGAAACGATTTATATGTTCTGCAATATTTGATTTTATAATCGTGAACTTCCCGTAATTTCTAACCTCTAAATTAGCATCTTAGCATTCATTTTCATTGGGAAGTTTACGGATTGAAAATGAAATCGAATGAATATCCTAATTGATGTATACCACGGCAGTTTTGTTCCTTAATATGCTATGTACCGAATATAGGTAATGCTCCTTTTTGAGATTAATATTACCCACTAAATATTTACATGTATTTTATCCGTTGAATATTTGAGGTATTTCATGTCAAATAGCTCAACCCCTGACCCTCATCCTCTAGAAAGTGAACGAGGATTTCTTACAGGGTTGAGGGGGTTAGCAGAAACTGTTGGCTGGTTTTCCTATAATTTTTCTACAACCCGCATGAGAAAAATGATTTTTTTTTCGTGGTTTTCCGTTTTTTCACAGAATTTCCTTCTCATCAACTGATTTCAATTTATTAAGAGGGCACGAGAGTAAAAAAAAATACCGAAAGGCGGGCAAATCTGAGCTCCAAAAAATCTCTTCATTTGGTAAATTCCGAGGCTCAAAAATTATCAGCACCAAATCCTTAGTACTTTGAAAATGTTATGGAACAAGTTGAGGGTGGTCTGAGAAGGATAAATTTTTTTTTTTATGTTTAAAAGTACGATGTCACTGACAACTGTGAGCGCCGCCATCTTGGAAGTACCTGTCAACCATCTCGTATTTTTAATCATTTATTAAAAATATTTATCCTTCTCACACCACCCTCAACTTGATCCCTAACACTTTCGTGGTGCTAAGGATTTGGTGGTGACCACTTTTGAGCCTCGGAATTCACCAAACGACGAGAATTTATGGAGCTCAGATTTGCCCGCATTTCAATAGTTTTTTTTTACCCTCGTACCCTCTTAAGAACCAAAATGTTTTAGTTGTTGGCCCTCTTTGAGAACCTGTAAGATGCAATAATTTTTTCAATTCCTAGATACTCACAATGACTAATAAAAATAAAAGTAGAAAAACTTGAATGTTATCAATGGCTCTAGGTGAATTCATCCCGGACTACTCATCCCGGACAATTCACCCCAAACAAATTCATCCGAAAACAAATCAATCCCACGACAATTTCATTCCAAACATCAACCTCCAATGGAATTTTTCACAGTCAACTTTATTGTCACAGCAAAAGGCACTAAACACAACACCAAAATCAATCAGATACTTCACGATTCCCTCCTAGTATTGTTTACATAACCGATCAACAAATTAACAGGAAACATTTCAAAATAACAGTCGACCACAGCATCGATTTACAAAATCAGTACAAAACTTGAAAATTAATCCGATAAGTCGCGCGCTTCAGCCGAGCGTATTCTTCATCCAAACAGTAATAATAAAAAAATGGGATAAAACTGCCGTGGGATGAATTTGTGGGATGCATTAACCGGATACCGTTATCAATTTCGTCACTTAAAAAAAAAATGTTTTCGAATTTATTCTCATAATTTTAACCAGTGCTTTGAATCGTACCAGAAGTTGATCAAAGTCCGAGATCTACCTTATTGTAAATTTTTTTGTTTTTAGAATTAGCCATTTGTCGGAAATCTTTAGTCCTCAGATAATGTTAATTACACATCTAAAAAATGTGGGACGCATAAATAATCAATTTTTAAAGATATAGTCAATACTATCTGAAGACTGTGTAAGTGTTTTCTCGTTGTAAATGAGATATACAGGGTGTCCCATTTGAAACAATACGGCTTGATATCTTTTATAGGAAGGCAGGGACAGCAAATTTGTTCAAATAAAAATTTTCGGGTTCGGAGGGGGAAACTCAGTGCTGATGGAATCTAGGCGCCCGTTGCTTATGTTTCTATATTACGAGCATGCAGCCAGTTTTCTTAAATGGCAACAACATTTCTTACCCCTACAAAAGTTGTTCGTCTTGCCCAGAGAAATTCAACCATACTGTTGCGTTTCAAGGAATGATGTACATGGACACGTAATTAATAAATAAAAGGGGCGGACAGTTTATTAATTATGAAGACAGAATACAGACGTTGATCTCTTCATGAATCCAGAGAATAGAATGACAATCAATCCAGGTGACAGTCACACCTCGCCAGACTTCAGGGACATCCTTCAGATGGTTTACAATTTATGTATTCGAAGGGGGATACGCAACACTTATCTTGAGTGGAAAGGCTATGATGTTTAATCAATAGTTTGATGGACAATTGATTGTTTTTCAATTTTTTTCTCTTGTAGATGCTTTCACTCGTATGTGGAATAATCGCCAGAAAAGTGGTAGCTTTGCTTTGCCTAAGAGTTGGCTTGTGTGCATAATTTGTTGTATGACGCAGGCAATGTGACATTTCTAATTTGAAAACTTTTCAATTCCTTTTTCAGATCAAGGCCTGATTTTCTGATTTGTGTATGTGTGAATTGAATTATTTCTCTTAACACTTTGCGAATGAATGAAATAACACAGTAATTCTACTGCTATCTTCTTTCTCTGTTCATATCACATCAAAAGGAATTGTATCACTCTATCATCCTTTAATTCAGAATTGTTAATGCCAAACAAGTGTGCAAGTACGATACGGGATTGAAATGACGTACAGGCTATCATACCCTAGGTGGTATGATAGTCGAATTAAAAATCGCGAAGAATCGATTTAAAACAAAACACAAAAAAAGGATTAAATAATTCAAACACAGAATTGGACGGGAAAAAGCCGTTACGGCATAAAAAACCCAGATTTATTGATTATAATGTAATAGATCGATTACAACTGCGAATGACACTTGTTTTCCATGCACATACACATACGCTACTACACTGCAATGTCTGTCCTAAGAACACAACGATGTGAACTGTCGGACGCAGCTATAGATATGCAGACACACACACACACATGCACGCGTGCCGATAATGCGAAGGATGGGTTATGGAATCACACGTTGTATGATTCCGAGACGATATTCTTCGTAATTAAATTACGACGATATGAGGTGGCCGTTGCACCACCTCCGATACGGTTTTAGATGAAGTGGCCGTTCGCCACTTCAAACAAGAGGTGTAGAGGAAGTGGCACGTTGCACCACTTCCAATACGATTGGCGTTGCACTACACTGTTAATTCGATTGATTCGTGCAAATTTCGCGAGGGAACTATATATGATTGAGGAGACTTATTTTTGAGATGTTTTGGATTGACAAATTCACACTTTTATTACTAATGACACTGATTTCACACAAAAGATCGATTAGAAACTTGAGTGCTCGAGTAGCGTCGGTCTGACTGTTACACGTGGTTGAACAGTCTAGGTTGGGTTAGCGTCGGTTGGGCGCTTCCCCGCGAGAAACCAGCGAGTCGAGAGGGGGAAAAACTCGCAGCGGTGGCGCGGTGAACTAGATAGAAACTAGCATTCAGCCCGCGCGAAGATTTGAACGAGTTACGATGTAACACGGGATTGCTTTTCAATGTTGATTTTTGGGAGGTTATAGTTGGGAAGCAAACTGGGGCCCTCCCTATGTGGGATATTCCAAAATTTCATTTCCGCATGAACTTTTGCAACTATTCCATTCTCAAAGTTGGGATATCTCAAATAGTTCCTGGTCTGGTTGCCGGGGCGGCAACCTTTTCGTCGGAGGGGAGTAGTGTTGCGTATCCCCCTTCGAATACATAAATTGTAAACCATCTGAAGGATGTCCCTGAAGTCTGGCGAGGTGTGACTGTCACCTGGATCGATTGTCATTCTATTCTCTGGATTCATGAAGAAATCAACGTCTGTATTCTGTCTTCGTAATTAATAAACTGTCCGCCCCTTTTATTTATTAATTACGTGTCCGTGTACATCATTCCTTGAAACGCAACAATACCATATTTTCCGATGACGTCATCGTTTTTACATGAATAATCGTTCAACAATAAAAATGAAAGGGGAACATCTTTTTCATCAATTTGACCGGGAAAAGTCAAGGAATTTTGTGGTGAAACTTCCAGGTGGACACCTTATATCTCTCGTCAATTGCCAGATATTCAATGGAAACTAAAGTCTGGGTAAATGAATTGAATAGTGAGATAGAGAATGTCAAGAGATTTTTTTTGTAGCTCCGGCATGTTTTTGCAAATAAGGTCTCTTGAGGACTTGAGAATATTATGGAAGAGACATAAAAATGGCCGAACAAATGAATATTAACAGAATTGGTGAATTTGCATGTCAGTGGAATTTCTTACATCGTCATGTACTAATTACGGACCAAAATATGGTAACTCCAGGGTTATTTAACTATGCGTCATAAATTTTTTAGCTGTAATACCCCAAGACCTTCAAAATTATCGGATATTTCCAGAATGTTTCGTTACATAGCAATGAGAGGGGTCTTCACGCTGCGCGCTCGGGATTTTAATCTGCAAAACTGTTCCCGATCGTTGATATGCAGGAAAACTTGAGGGAACTATCCGATGAATTTTGAAGGTCGAGGGGTATTCGGAGGACAATTTCTTCAATTCTGATTTTGGGCGATCAGAGTGCGGTGTTCGGTGGTTACGGAAACATTTCACCAAAATGTGAGGAATATCTGTCAAATTCGTAGAAAACAATTAACAAGCGACAGGGAAATTATCAATCTGAATTATCAGCGGATTCCAACACGAGGAAATACCTCAAGAGCCTCAAAATGTTTGAGTATTTATCAATAACTTCAATAATTCAAAGAAGATCCCACCGATTTTTATTCCTTCCGTTGTGTGATTACATTCCACGGATTCTAGATATTTTTGTTTCCGAATGGAAGCTTTGTAATCATTCACATTCAAGTTTTGGATTTTTTGTGGTATATCAACCGCGTATGATCCAAAAAGTTCGAAAATACAATTTTTGGACCCCGTCCGTACGTGTGTTTGTATGTGTGGACGCATGTAACAAAGTTGTTTTTCAATTGTTCGCTAATGAATGGGTGGAATTGAATCCTTTTGTTTTCAAATGGTATTGTTGAGCCTTACCAATCGCCATTAATGAGATTTTAATTCAGCGATTATTTTTTTCTATTTTTGAAAATTGGGTGTCGTACGATAACTAAAAAGATCGTTTTGAATTGATTGAATGGTGGCTTAAAAAATTTATTTGGATATCCTTTTGACCGAATTCGAAGATGAAGGCGATAATCATAATCATTATTTTGATTTATTTGAAAATTTGCCAACATTTTGTATTTTCTGAACATCAGAATTCCGAGGATATCTTTGAATATCATGCTTCAAATGTTTGTTTTGATGCATTAAGTTGAAGTTAAAAGATGATTGAGATAGCTATATTGGTTGATTTGATTTTTATGATGATTGTTGGAAATTTCGAATTTTTCATGAATTTTCCTGAAAGCGAGGTTGCTGATGGTTTCTTCAAATGCGGTCTTCCAAATTCATTCCACTATGTATAAATAACATTTTTCTCTTAAGATTTCATCGAAAGGCTAAGGGGAGAGATAGAACTGTAATAAAGACAATCGGTTGTGTAGAAGAAAGGGATAATAAGAATAATGATGATGATAACATTTAACTAAGTTGAAAACCTGACAAAATTAGTTGAAAAGAAATCTTATTGAATTTAATAAAATGATATAAGCAATGAATTATACATGATAGAAGGAAATTATGTGCAAAATAACCATTCCGAAGCATATTGCCAATCTATTAGCAAAAATAGTTATACTATATGCAATACAAGAGCAATTTCCCACTTCTTTCGTTTCTATTCATTTTCAGCTTGAAATACATCTCCATAATTTCCTCGATCCCCAAGCTACTAATTTTAAAAGATTTACTTATTTAATAGATTGATGAGAACATTGAGAAAGTCTTCACAAAATTTGTGAACAATGGAAAAGCGACGATTCGACTTAAGGAGCCTCCGCACGACTTAAATATTCAGTGTGATGCAATACAGTTGAAGAGTTTCCTTCGCACATTGCAACTTGGTCTATCGAAAAAACTGGATGCTTCAGTACTCTGTATATCCAATATGAACCCAAAGAGCATTGCACAAGCTCCGAAGACTAAAGTAACCATAAAGAACAAGGCAGATTATCCAGTGCTACAAGGGTTTCCAAGAACAACTGAGGAATTGAACATCGTTGGTTTAGAGAGGAAGTCATTTGATCGTCAGATATTAAGGCTGCAGAGTCTACGAGTATTAAATTTATCGGATAATAAAATAACGTCATTACCGAAAGAACTGGCTTCATTACCGTGTTTAATTGAATTAATTGTGTCCAACAATGCACTTGGAAGTGGAGGGAGGAATAAATGGACTTGGATGAATGAAGGAACTCTTTCAAAAACGTTGAAGCTCTTGGATTTGAGTGGAAATGGAGTAAGTAACTTGACTTATCCTAACAATAAAAAAAAACTTGACTTATCATTTTCAAAACTTGTAATTTGCACATTATTCATAAAATAATCATTCATACTAGAGATATTTCGAATGAATCTTTCGACTGTTTCCTCACAGCTCATTTTTTCCAGGAATATCTGGAAATTAGAGGCTTATATCGAAATTTTTATAATTAAAGTAGAGGGAGGAAAATGAACAAAGTAAAATTTAATGATTTTTTTTCATAGGGGAGGGTGGAGCAAAATGAAACAGCTAAAAAATGACTACTTGGCGTAATTCAAGCAAAAAAAAAATTTTTTTATCAACTTGATTATTAATCTTTTTCATTATTGGGAGTACTGATGAGAATAATAATTTTCTATTCGTCTTATAATTCAATTGATTGTAATTCAATTGATCAGATTAGGCCGATTACACTTCTCTTTTTTCATTCGATCGAGATACGCGGCAGCGTATCGGCCAAGAAAAGTTTTGACTCCGATTGTACAAAACATCAGGCCGACCCACGCCGTGTATCTATACACGAAGCAACTACCCCCTCCACTAGCTCCTAATCATATCCATTAAATAAAACACAAACGTAACGAGCTACATGAAAAATACTCTTAGTTACATTATATAAATTGGCCACAAGCTTCTCATTGATGTAACTATTTTTTTGTTCGAAGCAATATTTAAAAAAATACGCGCATAGCAACGGGTTCATATGCACATTCTCGCATTTCACATCAACTCCTATCATTTTTTTGTTACGGAGTTGGTAGCAGTGCAATACAACCACACGCACCAAGGAGGGAAGCCCGGAAATTTACAAATTGAATATGGTGCACGAATGATGAATTCCACAGATATTTCTCAATCGAGTTTCGTGCACAAATGAATTCTCGAAGAAACAAATTCAGTCGAATAATCTTGAATAAATAATTAAAAGTCGGTGCAAATAACGACAGTGGAATAGAACTATTTGTTTTACTTCGATTGTTAATTGGAAAGTTTTTCAACTCATTGTCTAGTATCAATCTAATTCTCCATCTTCTGATCCGCGCCAAGGACGTTGGTCCTGCTTCTACTAATTTTTTATTTCAAGATTTTTTTTTTTAAATCCTCATTCGATTTGAAACAATTTCTCTTATAGAAATCTGATTGTGCACTATTTTCGTTTATTCGATATTGCTGACTTGGGTTTCTTTTTCATTTCTTTGTATTTTTTAAAAATTTCGACTTCCTTGAAATTCACTATCACATTTTCCTTTTCTCCCTCTGGGTTTCTCCTTGGGCCTTGCTTTGGACTTTGGATTTTGCTTTTTCTTTTCAATTAATCCATTGACAAAATCTTCGCCCGTCAAAACTTCTCAATAATTTTTCCAGTCTATTGAATGGAAAATTATTATTCTCATTAGTACTCCTAAGAATAAAAACAAAGTCGTTAAAAAAATATATTTAATGAAAAAAAATTTGCTTAAATTGTGTTAAACAGTCGTTTTTGACTGTTTCCTTTTGCTCCATGTTTCATTTTGTCCCACTCTCCCCCATTTGAGATATTTCGCAGGCTTTAAAGTAGGACGTGATTTATGCAAATTATTATTTGGTGAGAAGATATTGATGATTCAAGTTAGTCCATTTGATAATACTAAATAAATGTGACCACACTATAAAAAATTATAAACTATTATAATATTGGGGCGAGATTTTTTCTGGCTTGTGTACTGACCGTTTGTCCATTGAATTTCTACTATACTTTGATGAAAATTGTAATGCCCAAAAATTATTTTTCATATTGTCAAATAATTTTGTCGGGAATTCCTCAGTGTTATAAAAATTAGAATATTCAAAATTGAAAAATGATCTATTCCTCGTCGACATTTGACAATTTTAATTTTTTTACGTACACTACCACCTATAAAATTAATGAAATCAAAAACAGCTAGCGCAGTCCGTGTTGTTACTAACTGATCACCAAAAATCCAAGCGTTAAACCACACAATTTAGTGGGTCATCGTTCAATTCCATAATTAAAATCATAAATTAAATCAGTCGTTTATCGCTTCTAGTCCCAAGTGGTCGAGTCTTAAAGGAGGCTTCCCTCCCTTTAAGAGACATCTAAATTTTAGTGACCGTGGAATTATTAATATACTGGTGGAAAATGTTCACAAAGTCAATCTATACCTACGCTTTTCTTCCCATATAGTAATTCGCTTAAGGTCCGGGTGGATTATTTTTCGAACGTTATCTCGATTTTATTTTCATTTTCATAATTTAAAATATATCACAATTTCCATTGCATTTTACATCACGCAGAAGTTCCTAGAAACTATGATTGTACAATCAAAAAAAGTAGAAAAAAAAACGGAACATTTTCAAAGAGCGTTTTTAATAAAGATTAAGAAATAAGTACGATAGAGAGGAAATAGTGAATGGATAATTTATCATGCTGTGACAAATGACGACCTAACATCCTTTAGATACATCAAATTATTAATTTGCAATTTCTTCCCTATTGGGTTTATTTCTCAATATTATTCAAAAAAGCTCTTTGAAAATGTTCAGCTTTTTTTCAACGTTTTTTTGATTGTACGATCATAATTTTTAGAGACTCCAGGGCTATGTAAAACTGAATAGCAATTGGAGATCATTTCAGACTATGAAAATAAAAAAAACAGCCAAGATCACGTTCTAAAGATAATCTACCCGGGCCTTAAGTCGATATTATACGTGGTAAGCTTTCGAATTAATAGTAGGTAACTATCGGGCGTGTTTGCTTAGGGATACTGCATCTGTTTCGTATCGAAATGTGTAATTTTATAATTTGGAAGTGTCAAATGTCTCATGTGTCGTTTCTCAATCCTGAATTTACCAAAATATTCAAATTTCTACAACTTTGACAATTAAATATTTTCCATGGGCCATTTCCCCGATTTACAAGAATTTAGACAGCTGCAGTTCTCACTTGAGAGAATGATTAAAAATAAATCCGTTGACCGTCACAAACATTCTACAGAAAAATAAAATCTTTGCTCAGTTTATAACTTAAGCCGACGTTTTTCACGTAAACTTCGCCAGTTTTTATGATTAGCAATAACTTGAACCGACGTTCTTCACGTAGATTTTACATTTATACAACTTAATTATCTTCACCTGGACTTAAATCAACGTTTTTCACGTAGACGTCGCCTGTTTTTATGACTAGCAATGTTCTCTGCCTACAGACCCTTATACCTGAGCTCCAGCGTCACTTCAAGACGGGAAACCCAAACTTACTCCACGCGGACATCCCCACTACTTTCAGGGTCACGGTCAAGGGCTGGAAAACCAACCACTCACATCACCCATAGCTCATTTTCCATCAATCCAAGACCTCCTTGCCCCCCACTACTTGAAACCTTAACTTAAAGGTACACACCCAATTATCCTTCCGGAAGAAGAAGGAATTTTCCTTGTCACCTCACTTCTAATCGAACATTCAACTAAGCAACCACCTAGTTCAAATCGCGAGCAATCCAATCTGTTGAGACATTTAGACACTTCCTGAAATTTCAAGAGTTTTATTCAATCATAGTTATCAGAAATTTGTAAACGTATTAAATCGAAGGCAAAACATTAAACAAAAATAAATAATCATATCGTCACGTCACAAAATTAATGCAAAACTTTAAACAAAAATAAATAATCATATCGTTACTTCATAAAATTTGGTGTTATATTTCATTTCAATATTATTAAAAAATATAATCAATCCCAAAAAATAAAAGTCGTAAATTTTTCGAGTGAATTTAATTATTAGCTCGAAGGTATTGGCTATAGTATAGTCAGTACAATTCAGATATTGTCNGTCTTTTCTTGCATATAAGAGATCTTCAATATAGTAATTTGCGTTTCATCCCGACCTAATTATTAAAACTCGTCAATTCTACAAAAATATTATTAGTTACCTGAAAGTGAAAGAAGGTAAGCTGATTGAAAGTAACTCCACATGGTATCGTTACCGGTAATGAAATCGTTAGTTACCGAAGAATTCAAATATTAGTTTGAGCAATGAATATTTTTCGATATAATTTTAAAATCTTCATCAACTATTAATAATCGAATAATCAGCGTAAAATAATTCATAATAATTTCATTAAAAATCCGACAGGCACATTTATAGTTCTGATAAAATTGTAACCTTCTAAATCTGAAAACGTGTAAACATCTAAATATCTAATCGGTTCAAATTGTGAAATTGATTAAATAAATAGAATAAATTGAATTAATCGGTTGATTTTAAACAGAAACTTGAATCACTTTTTATGCCTGAAAAGGACTGCATCGCGTGGTCCACATAAAAAAAAAAAGAGATGAAAGATAATCTTTTAGATTATTCTTCTATTTATGATGCTAAAATTATGTTTTCGAAGTATTAAAATTAAAATATAAAACGTTGTCCTCTGACGCTGACATCTCCGGATACAGCAAAATTCTACCGTTTTATATCTCTTATTACGAACTGCTCTCTGTAAGGGCTGTAGAGTTCACAGCTGGCTTTTATTTAAATAAACTTCTTCTATTGGTTTATAATATTCGGGCTTTTTAAGGTTCATACCAGCTACGTCTCCATTGCGAACTCTGGGTATTGTCAAGTGCTGGTAAGGCTTGGTATTAACTCTTTACCGTATACTTTTGAATTTAATCACCAATACCTTAACCATTCATCCATAATATTATGTGTGATCAGTCATTAGTAGCAGTCCGATGGAATTATTTGAATTTATTCGCTATGTGGTCAGGAACTTTGAGTATTACCGTCTTTTACCCCACTCTCCCCGTTTTTACTATTTTTTATTTTGATGTACAAAAAAGGCTACTATGAAAATTGATCTATTCTCTCGGAATTGAAAGATATTATTGAAGAGGCTGGAATCCCATTGACAGCCATGAAAACGGAATCCACTTGCTCTCGACCATTCTTTTCCCGAAAAATTGAAATGTTGGATTGTTTATCACATTATTGACCATACCAAGAATATGAAAAAAATGGCATGCATGTCATTGCCCCATCATTTAAGGGGATACGTCGATGAAATTTAAGTCTTTACTGAGCCTTGAGACCCATTGAACAGTTTATGATATAGCCCGAAAAACTTCATTTTTTCCTATTTTTACCTTCAAAATGCCCCTTGCGCCGTAGTTTTCATACGATTTAAGCTTTTTTTAAAATGTTTGTTCCACTCCAGAGAATAAAGTGAAGCATCCGTTTTACTTTATTTGCAATGGATCATGAATAAATGAATTTTGAATTTCATAAATTTTACTCTACTCTAGACGCGAAAAATTCACGAAATTCAAAATTTATTTATTCTTGATCTATTGTGAATAAAGTAAAACGGATGCTTAACTTTATTCTTTGGTGTGTAACGAACATTTTAAAAAAAAGCTAACATCGTATGAAAAGTATGGCGCAAAAAGCATCTGGAAGGTAAAAACAGGAAAAAATGAAGTTTTTCGTGGTTATAAGGGGCAAAATCTATCGGGACCGCGATTTTCCATAGTTATTCTCACATTCCGTCATATATGATAAACTGTTCAGTGGGTCTCAAGGCCCAGTGAAGACTTGAATTTCACCGACGTATCTCTTTAAGTGACGTTCATGGAACCGATGGAAATATGACCAATTATTGCCATGGCGAGTGACAGAATTGTGACAAGAATATAGCGATTATAAACTAACCCGTGCTGCGATGTCTAGGCCAGTCGACGGATGCTTTCTAATTTCTCATCTGCAGCATCAATCACGGCTCTTCAATTGAAGGTTAATCTTGAAATGGAGGGACGTAATTTGCTCATCAGATAAGGAATGAAGAAGCACCGTACAACAGGCACGAGTAATTGCATCACTTTTTAGGTGATAATCGCCCCCTAAAAAAATTTGAAACGTCATGTCGTTCGCATGCCTGGTACATACCTCAAGATTAGATACGAAAATGATTGGAATCCGTTTTTTTCACTTTGGTTGGATTCTCAGTCTCGACTCGAGTCATTCCGTTTCATCAATCTAACTTAATTTATTTATGTTCTTTGCAGTTAATTCATCTGTCAAATCAAATAGGAAAATTGAAAAAATTGGTGACCTTGAATGTCAGCTGCAATTCTCTGACAAGCCTTCCCACCAGTATTGGAACATTATCTTCGCTGAAATACCTTGATATATCTCATAATTGTATACAAAACCTTCCGGGGAGCCTAATGAAGTTCAGATTCGAGGGCCTTAACATCGCTCACAATCCCGACATTTCTCGAGTCAGGTCGCAATCTTTCGCAGTGAATTTCACTGTATCAACGCTCACACAGTTGGGGGCACAAAAAGTTTTATATTACAGGTATGCTAGTTGTAATTTAATACTGAGTCGATGAAATGACTTGAGTCAATATGCATTTCCTTGTTAATGGTGGAGACAGTTCAGTAATGATTAAAACTAATTGGATCCTATTATAAAAAGGAGAAAGGAAATCGATCTCGAAATATCTCGAATAAGCGTAAGCGTAAGACTGAAACCGAAGCGTACTACTTGAGGAGATGAGAAGGCGCGTGCGCAGCACATTCTTCTAAAAAGATGTCTTAATTTCCTTGCACTCGCTAGGCGTTAAAATGAATTATTCAAGAAAGTGTTATGTCTGGAGATGTTGTCAGCGTCGGAGGATAACTTTCATATTTTAATTTTAATACTCTCGAAACATAATCTAAGAATTATCAATAAAAGAATAATCTGAAGGATTATCTTTCATCTCTTTTAGTTTTTATTATGAGGACGACGCTATGCAGTCCTTTTCAGGCGTAAAAATAAATTGAAGTTTTTATTTGGAATCAAAAGATTGATTTAATTTATTATATGTATTTAATCGGCTTCAAAGTTCTAACCAATTTAATATTTAGATGTTTACACGTTTTCAGATTTAGAAAGTTATAATTTTATGAGAACTATAAATTTTACTGTCGGAATTTTAGCAACATTAGTATGAATGACTTTGCATTAATTATTCGATTTATAGTAATTGATTAAGATTTTACAATTATATGAAAAAATATTCGTTGCTTAAATTAATATATGAATTCATCGGTAAACTAACGACTTCATCACCGGCAACGAAACCATGTGGCGTTACTTTCAATTAGTCTACCTTCTTTCACTCTTGGATAAATAATAAGAGGTTTGTGTAGAATTGAAGAGGAATAAATTGATGGGCCAGTATGAAAGGCGAAATAAAATATTGAAGGTCCCTTATATGCAGGAAAAGACACTATTCTCGATTTAAGGATGCAGTATCCCTAGGCAAACACGCCCGATAGCTATCTACTATTAATTCGATAGGTTACCACGCATAGTATCGACTTAAGCGAATTACTATATGGGAAGAAACGCGAAGGTAGATCGATTTTCTGAACATTTTCCACTAGTAGTTCAATAATTTCGCGATCACTAAGAAATTTCGATTTCTCCTAAAGGGACATTTCCACTCTCCTAAAGCGAGAGAAGCTCCCTTTAAGACTCGACCACTCGGGACGAGGAGCGATAAACGACTGGCTTGGTTTTTGATTTTGATTGTGGAAATGAGTGTTAACCCCTTAAATTGTGTGGTGCAACGCTTGAATTTTTGCTGATCAGGTAGCAACAGCATGGGCTATGCTAACTGGTCTCAATTCCGTTGAGTTTACGAGTGGAAAATGTATGTGGAAGAAGTAAGATTGGGAAATGATGACGGAAAGTCGGACATTTCTCAATACTGGATTCACTAATATTTAGAACGATGATGAATTCCCAATAAAATGATGAAGAATTATTTTTGGACGTTACAAAAGTTAAAATAAGTTGAAAACTTGAAAAAACTTTAAAGTTGAGAATTTGAATCGTCAATATCTTGAGAACGGTAGAGTTAAATTTTATGATTTTAGATTTGCAATGATTTTTCGCTTCCGAATGGAAGCATTGTAACCGTTCTATTTTTTTTCCTTGAAAATTAAGGAGAATGATCGGAAACGTAAAAATACAAAGTTTGGCGAACATGTTTGTACTATTTTTTTTTATCGTTATTTTACATCGCTTCGATCTGGTTGGGGTATGTTGCGATGATGATCAAGACTTTAAGGATGCCAAGTGAATTTGAAAAAAGATTCAAAAAAAAATTTTTCTTTCCCTCCATCATTGGAGAAATATGTATTCATCCATCCGACGAAATTTTAAACCCGCAAACGGAACTAGACATCGAGAAAATAAATGCGGAAAATCCTCTATTTCGCGTGACGAACCTCAAGAAAGCATGGGATCAAATGGCTACGGCGGGTTGAAATATCTCTCTTATTCACCCCGGTACCCCATTGTTTTTTATCGCCATCACATTGAACACATCATTCCCAATATCTTCAAATTTTTTCAAATTTGTCTTCAGTTCCTAGGGGGTTGAAACGTTCAATTTAATCGAAACTCCATAAGAGGCCGTGTATAAGACTGATTTTGTTTATTTAATTTCTCGATATCCCTAAGTTCTAAAATTTTAAAATTGTCATCGATGTTCACCATCTGTCTAATACTATTAATTAAACAAATTATAACTTTGTTGGTGAATGTCAATTTTCAAGGTCATCGCCAAATTCACTTGTCACCCTTAAATGGTTAGATGTCACCATTCTACCCGGCCGGCTTTTGAAGTCGGAATTTTATACGTGAGGCAATGAACTTACCCATTGCGCCAAGCCACCGAGCGAACATGTGTGTATGTGCGGGTGTTTACCACCACATGTTTGGTGGTCAATTTTGAGAAAATTGAGTAATCAAATAGTTAAAGAAATTGTTAAAAATTTCGAATTTTGTCTGACTGTAGGCATTGATGAGGACTAACTCTGTGCTCCATTTCAGCCTGATTGACTCAACAATTTTGGACAAATCGCCATTTGTTTGTAAATCGTTTTTTGCAAACATCCCGGAAACTATCTGGCCGATTAATTTTTTTCAGCCACGGCGGGTGCAAAGTGTACAGATCTGTATTTGTGCCTACGCCGTGACGGAAAATAACGTCCTGACCACGAGAGGCAAAATGAAGGACCCTTATGAGGTTCAGGTTCGATTGTTTCATTTTGCCCCATTCTTCCCTATCTTAAGAATTGTGATGATAATTGAAGAAAATGCCGGAGGAGTGAATACTCTCAATGTGAAAACTAGGATATAAGTACATTTCGACACTAGACCATGCGGAACACTTTCTGGCGAATATGAGGTTATAGGACGAGCCGAGGGCGAGTTCTGTAATCATAGGAGGTAGAAAAGTTCTTTATGGCTGTGTATCGATCAATATTTTATGTCATTGGACCCGAAAACCGCGATCTAACCCAGCGAAGCGAGACATCGTATGTCACACGGCGATAAAAGTATTATCTGGCGAATGTGATCATAATCCTTGCTTTCGGCTTGGATTATAAAGCCACATTCGCCAGATAATACTTTTATCGCCGGATGACATAATATACTATTTTGTCATTGGGCCCGAAAACCGCGATTTAACCGGGCGAAGCGAGGTTCAAATGGTGGTTTATAGCCAACTGACAAAAAAGTGATAAAAATTGAATTAAGAAGTTAACGAACCTCCCAGCTGACAATTTACTGGTAAATTTCCGGATATTTACCGGTCTTGCTGGGGACTTAGATGGCGTCCGTAAAAATTATTCCCTAGGCTCTCTTGAACAAAAAATGTTAGATTGTAGTGGAAAATAATAAACAAATAAGGATTTAAATAATCAGTCATCTGATTGTTTAAAACTTTCAATTGAGATTTGATTCATCCAAATTGTACCACTTTGTTTGGTGGTACTAATAATTGAAAACGATCCGTTTTACCACACTCTGCCCTCTTCATGATGAAAAACAAATTCAAAAGGTTGATTACGAAAATTGTTTGTTTCAGACTTCCTTATGATGCTAGCATTATCCCATTCACCCTCGTGCCATGTTTGGATAATGCAACCTACTGTGTATGTGGCAAAGCTGTCGTGGGCCAATACAATTGCGTAGAGACATCCAAAAATGTTAGCCAAATAGCAAACGAAGTCACCGCTTCAGGGGACACCAATGTTTCGTTTCAGTGTGTTGTATGCTCTCATGACTGTGTTAAAAGTCTGTTATTTCCACGATGATGACCATAAATTCCTATGTATTTATTTCTCACAATAATAAACTTATTTTTATACTTCTTTAATCAGTTTGTCTGCCAATAACATCAGCATAACAGTTTGGGGATTGGTACCACTTGCGGAATCAGCTTGATATTCTATTTTATTTTTAATGAAATTTGTTGCCAGTTCCTGTAAGAACTTGCAACTGGTCATCGCCCAAGAGCCTTCAACCAAGTATTTACATTTGATATACATAGTAGTTGATAATAACAAAAAAGAAAAGCAGTTCATATTTTGATTTCACCGGGTGAGGTCAGCGTAATATTTAGCCGAAAGTCCATGTGATCCTATACAGGGTATCCCAAAACGGATCCGTCATGCCATGAGAGTAGCGCTGGGGGGTTATTTGGAGACGATCACTCAAATGAAATTTTTGTCTCCCAATCTTTATTTATGAAATCCTGTCGTAAAAAGGAGGAAGGAAATCGATATCGATATATCTGGAAAATCTCGAATAAGTGTAAACGTAAGACTGAAACCGAAGCGCCACAATGGGAGGAGATGAAAAGCCGCCTGTGTAACACGCGCGGTCGACGCTATTGCCCGATTAGAGATGAAATGACAGCCATTTTCGAGGGGCTACTCACTCCATTATTGAGTGACACTACGATTTCAAACTGAAGTCGATTTCGGGTGATTTCAGTGATTTCGGAAAAAATAATTTTGGCGATTTCGAACGTCACGGGTAGTGACTTCATGATCGAATGATTTCATCAATTCAAAATCAGTGATTTCATTAAAAATGAAGTCATTGAAATCACAATAAATAAATTTAATAAATAATTGGGATGCTGCACAGCGGGTCGTGTCAAATTATGAAAATCATAACTGGCAAATAATAACAAATTCGTTTGATTCCACTCAGCCAATCTTGAGCTAATGACGATGGAAAGCGATCCATTTTACCCTAGTCTCCATTAATATTTCACAAATAACAATCAATTTCCGACATTTATATTCGAAAATAAAAGTCACATAAATGATTTCACACATAGATTGGCATCACATTAACTCATTTATTTAGAAGTATTTTTCAACTTTATCAAAAATTCTCTCAGGGAGCCTCGAATTTCCACTCTCAGTGATCAGAGGAGGAGAAATTGTTCTTCGATACTGGCTTACATTAATGAGGCCGTGAGAGCTCGATTAGCTCTGCCTTTAAACTAGCAGACGTTTATCGAAAATATACCAGTCGCAAAGAACACATACATTTTTGCTATTACCGCTGACACGAGCAGATACGCTTGAAAACTCCCTGCTTCCCAGTTTTTTCCTCTGAACAAGCAAAATTCAGTACGTACCCTAATAAACGAGTAGGGTATATATTTTTCCTCCTGAAATAAACACCAATCACTGATATCGATTTCCTTGAATTTTTTCACAAAATACTTTCAAGGGACGCAGTTGCGTCCCGTCGCCAAGAATGGGTACCAATTTCAAACCGCGGCATATTTTGAATTATACTTTTACTACATGATGTTGCTGTAAGCCATCCATTGCAATTCTTATTACATTTTTTCATGCTACAATGAATGAAATATGAAGATCTAAAGAATTTCAGTGTGCGTCTTTTCTTCATCTTTCTCATCGTACACGTTCGAGGCAGATTTTAATGGGAACGTTGGTACCATTAATTTCTACCTCGCGATCTCGCGAGGTGTTGGGAGTTGGCTGTGTTGGATGACGTCAGTCCGATATTCAAAAGGGATTGGTGGATCGGACCCGCGGTTCGATAGCGCTAGACATTAATACCGGTGTCTTCTGTCAATTACATGGAATGGTTCTCGTTCCATTAACAAAAATGTGTACTAAATAACCATTCTCCCAGGAAAGTGATGGGTAATATTGGTAAAAAATTGTAAATATATTCATCGAGACCATGATTTTGATTAACATTAATTCTGGTTCGTGAGATGAGTTGTACTAAAACAAAAATCTAATCTCTCAACTGAAAATCCTCCTGCTATAATATTTCATGTGAAAAAAAAACAGGAAATAACAATTTCTAACAATAAAAAGGCCATAATCGAGACTGGGTTCTTGAATTTAACACAAGTTGTAATATTGAAAATCTATATTGATGAGATGGGTGCAATGAGTGAAAAAATCATTTAGAGGGAAAAAAACGATTGTCGTTTTGTGGCCTGAAATTATTCTCCGGCTTACGAAAAATTGTAAAGTGTGTAAAATCTCCACAAAAAATTGGAAAAAAGTTTTTTGCATAAAAAATTCTGCAAAAAAAGTGCAATCCTTATTCGCTTTACAGTGATTTGTGGGATCGAAAGGTGTATTCACACAAATGCACCAAATTTTCTGAAAAAGGCAAAAAAAAACGTTAAAAAATCGCCAAGAACGGGTGTTGTTCCGTTTACAAACATGAAAAAAACTGAAGACACTGTCTTGTTTTTGAAAAAATATGTGAAATCTCCCAAAAAAAATAGGTCTTTTGTAAAAAAACACTCACCAAGAATGTATGCAACCGTTGGTCTGCTTACAAAATTTGTCAAATCGGGAAAAAGCTGTAGTGCCAAAGACAGATTAATAAAGCCTAAAGATTATGACACAACTCATATAAAACTGAAGAAATAATGAAAATCATGAAAATGATATTCAAAATTTGAGATGATAAAAATTTCAAGTCAACCTACTTGACGAAATTTTGTGTAGCTTTAATCGCGAGCCAAGTAGGTTGACTTGGAATTTTTATCATCTCAAATTGTAAATACCATTTTCATGATTTCCATTATTTCTTCAGTTTTATATGAGTTGTGTCATAATCTTTAGGCTTTATTACTCTGTACTTGACACTACAGCTTTTGCCCGATTTCACAAATTTTGTAAACAGACCAACGGTCGCATCCGTTCTTGGTGAGTGGTTTTTTACAAAATACCTTTTGTTTTTTTGGGAGATTCTTGCTTTGCAACAGGTTCTTACGTCGATGACTAGTACTGCTCGTTATGTCTTCGTCCGTAACTGGCTGAGGTCTATCACTACTGAGTTTTGAATGATCTTTATTAGACGAAATATTGAGGATTTGCGAACTATTTATTCTTGGTCTGAACTATCTGAAACTATATAGCGAATGGACTTTCTGGATCCATATGATAATAAGCACACGCGAGATTTGTCTGGGAGTAAATAAATATGGGATTCTCAGAAAAACCAGTATGGTAATGAATACAGCATTTTATTGTGATGAATTACAGTAGAGTTCCCTTTATTTTCCGCTTCCATGATTTTCTCTCTCTTCTCCTCTTGACTTGTTCTCTCACTGATCTTTATATAACTAGATAGACTATCTTTATACCCCTGTTACGTCCCAAGCTGGTGGTTTGCTCGTTCAGATGGCAGGTCCGTTGCCCGTGGAGTGTGAAAACACTGCTCCACAAGTGCAGGAATTTTTGAGACAAAAATAAGTGAACACAAACACCAATTTTTAAGCTAATCCAATTATTTCGTTTATAATTCACTTTGAACTTAGAACAGTAGTTTACAACAACTTGAACTTAGAATTTGAGAAGACGTTAACAAATGCTTTTGAACTTCTCATCTCCACGTATGGGGTGGATCTGCTCTTACATTTACTCTTAAAATTACTCCAAGTCTTGCTAGCGTGGAAACTCATCCCACAGGCAAGAGTAGGGAATCAATCGTGACCCTGAATTCGGTCAATGGGGTTGGTCTTACACCTCCATAGTCGATCGCGCTGGCCCAGCCCCGAACTCTCAAGTGTACGTGACCCGAACAATGGGACTGACATGTGGTGCGGAGTGAGAGAGGAAATACTTGAGTTTCTCTCGGGAAAAAATAAACTGTCTCCGGGAAAACGTTTTACGACTTTTACGGTTCGAAACTGAGTTCAAATTGCACTTGAAAACTCTATAAGAAAAAACAAAACAAAAGGGCTTTATCTTCGGGTGGTCCGAACTACAGTGAAGAATTTCCAGTTTTATTACTCATTTCCTGTTGACACGAGTTTCCAACGTACTTTCTAAAAGTCTGTTTCTTCTCAAATTTCATCTCGTGAGAATATTTCGACTAACATGAATAAAAAATTATAAAATTCATTTAAAAAGAATTTGAATCTTAGCGGTGTAATTTAGTGAGAAATATGGCGGTCTTAGGGACCTTACGTCGCAACTAGGGGTCTACGCGACACCCCCATCTCTGCCCCCATCATGCTAAGCAAAGAGGATAGACCTGAGTAGAGGCCCGGATCGGGGGGTTTGACTGACTCCAAAAATGTTAGTTGGTACCCCACGGGAAAGGCGGCGTCCCGGTCGAATTGTCGGTAAATGTGAGTCGGGTGCGTGAGTAACTCGGCAGTAGCAGTCCCGCTGTCACAGGAACAGGTTTGGAGGGTGACTTTTGTCCTCCTTGTACTCAATGTTTTTAACTTCCCGACCCGAAGGGAGGAAGTTATTGTAATGACCCCGAAAATCGAATGTGGAAATTTAAGCATTTCTCCACGTTTCATGACCTTTGGAACCACTTCTGACCCTTTTCAGGTACCTGTCTG